GATGAACAAACAGATTGTGAGAGTAGCGAAGATATGCTAGAAAGAGAGAGCGGAGTTGACCCAAATGAACTTGTAAATGATTTACGTTATTATATCGAAGAGTGTGGTTTGACTAAAGAACATCGTGTCTGTGGTGACATTATCAACAAGCTACATGATATGGGAATAATTCAGTAACTTGCCAATAATCTAAAGCAGTAGTCTTATTAGCTGTCGGCGTTATCGTCTCCCATCATCTTAACGTTAAGTCTTCAGGCATTGAGCTGTTACGCCATCGGAGGCGCCTGCGCAATCGTTGTCTTCAGACATTATCCTCGACCCGATAGCCTTATCGTTGCTTTCAGGCATCGAGTTTTTACATCTACTGCAGCTCGGTGTAGATACTGAGAATTTTTTGCTGCGGATAGAGATAGATTCAAGAGAAGAATTGAAACGACTTCCAAAATTCTCAAGCCATTATTAGATAAAATTCTTGAAAAAATTCATAAATACATACAAATACATTATAATATTACATTTATTACATTTTAATATGCATAATATATGTTTACTTGTCCTTGTTTGTTTTATTTCCTCTCTCATTCTACCTTTCATGTATAAGAAAAACCTTACATTTATTATATTTTAATATGCATAATATATGTTTACTTGTCCTTGTTTGTTTTATTTCCTCTCTCATTCTACCTTTCATGTATAAGAAAAACCTTACAAGACCAGTGCTCTACCACTGAGCTAAAGAGGCTCGTGCTAGGTTTTACTAGCAAGCCTGCATATTAGGTTAGAATTTTTGCTAACACTACAGTTATAAAGGAAATAAAATATCAGGTATAAATATTATGTTTATGCTAAAAAACATGTCTGGACATGTAGAAACAGGTCTGAACCTTGACCCCGGATGACCTAAGAATGACGTAATGCTGTTTGGAGTTCATTGACCTCCCTTATCATGATTTATGCTAACATTACGATTTTGAAGAAACTAAGGGACTAATTACAAGTATGTTCTGCGCATGCATTAAACATATTTTTTATTTTTGTCCAAATTCTGAACCTCAATCTCAATGGTTGCTCACGTGATCTCAGTCGAATGGCGCAATACTTTACGTCTTTGCACCAGGAATTTGTGAAATAGAATCTGTTATTCAAGTTTGGTCAAGCATTTTGATTACACCCTGTATAAATATATGTATTCTTTGAATGTTTAGAACTTAGGCGATATTATACATCGGAAAGTGATGGGGACAATTATCCCTTGCAAACAGTAAAAGGCAATAAGAACCCCGTATACAATACGATTATTTCTAGAACGTATGTGCATCCCGCAATGCTACAAGAAGTTATTTGATGGATGCGGTTGCCGAGAACAGAAGAGAAAGGCGGATACGTTTACATAGCAACAACCATGAAGTATGGAGTTAGAAATGTATACAAAGTGGGATACACTAAAGATCCTGAGAAGAGACTTAAAGAGTTCAACAATTATAGAGCCAACTTCGACTTGTTCTTTTACGTAGACTTAATCAGAGTTTCCAGTGCAAGGGAGACAGAGACAGCTGTTCATCAGGCTCCTGAAAGTTATCGTGTGGAGAATGAGCTCTTCATGTGTGAACTGAATTTGCTAAAGGATATTGTTCGACATTTTTCTGAATGATAAATAACGGCAGCATAGTAGCAACAGTAATCATTCTTCATCTAACATTCAAAGTGTTCAGACGTGCTTTTAATATAATCTCAAAATGACAAGTCTAAGAGATGTTTGCTTTGAGCAAATCCAGGACTAGTACTGGTACGGTTTATATGGAGATTTTAAGATTGTCGTTGACAAGAACACAGGCTACTTTAACGCTACAAAGCTATGCCAGGATGGCGACCGAAGATTTGATAACTGGCTACGTAATAAAAGATCGAAAGAACTTATGCGATATTATGCATCGGAAAGTGATGCCTCGGATTCTCCAGCGACATCCCCTGACCCCTCCAACACGGTAAAAGGCAATAAGAACCCCGTGTACAATACGATTATTTCTGGAACGTATGTGAGAGAAGAGTTACTGTTGGATATTGCTTGCTGGATTTCCAAGAGTTTTTATGATAGATGCTACAGAATAGTAAAGGAATATTTCGTTAACGAATTCAAGACCAACTACCAACACGATAATGAAGCTCTAATGTCCAAATTGCACGAATTAAAAACCCGGAATGAGAAGTTGGAAAATTACGTTGAAGATATAAGTCCAAAGGTCGTTAACCCGAACAAACGACACATGTTTGCTATAATACAGAAAAATCAATCAACCGAGTATCCGTACTATATCATTAGAACACAGAGAAGGCGTTTCCCGCAATCCTTGAAGAGGCTACAGAAGAAGCACCCGAAAGCGCGCGTTGTGGCAGATTTAGAGTATAACCCCAACAGTATAAGCCTTTTTAATCGCATCAAGGACGAAATACCGTATATTACATGTAAATACAATGATTTTAAACTAGTAAATACACCGATTGAAATTTTTGTAAATGACGTTAATAAAATGCTAGAAATAGATTAAAATACGAGCGCAATTTAATTTCTTACCCCCTTCTACATAATAAGAATACCTTGAGCAAGCGTCTCATTCTTGTCTTGTTCTTGGTAGTGACAAATCGTAAAAATGAAAACAGCGTTCTACTTTAAAGCAAGAGCCTTGAGAGAGATAAGGAAGCTAAATATTCGCGACGATGTATTAATTAATCAATGGTACTTGGATAAACAGCCTTCATGTTATATACATTATGAAGACGAAAAACCTGTATCGTTTGCCTTGCTGTCTAAAATGAACTTTGACCCCTTCAACAAGCATTCAAATCCAAAGACGTTGAACTACATTTATAGGCTGGAAGCGCATCGTAGAAAAGGACATGCTACAGCCCTTGTAGACCATGTGAAAGAACGTGAACAGTTTTCGGCGTTTTGCAGTAATGAAACTTCAGAGAATTTATTTAAAAAATGCAAATGTAAAAATTACGGTGAAATGTATTGTAATGTTATGTACAGATACCCTTAATAAAACTTGTAACATATGATTGAGTATTATTATTTCTAACCTTTGTAAGTTTGAAAAGATGAGGAAAAATAAAAACGCTGCATGTAAAATATGGTTTTTATTTTTCAATGTAATTATCTATAATACAGAGCGTTACATACAAGTTGTGTGGTCATTCATGAACCTTCTCTTGACGGAGAGAGGCTTATACAGCTTGGTTTGTCGAACAGTTATCACCTCCTGCTCCTTGGTCCTCAAGATGTTTCTTGAGGCCACGCATACAGGGATGGCGGAAGTGTCTAACACCATATCTTTTATGGTATCGAAATTTACCAGTCGTGAGGCTGTGTAGTTAAGGGATATACCATTAATTTTACACACGACATTCTCCTCGTTATCTCTGGTGGAGAAGACCTTGTATGCGTAGTTTTTGATATGCGACACGTCATGTTTTAAAAAACTCGCCTTTATTGAAGAAGTTTCAACACCTTTTAAAACTGATAATTATTTCAAATGTGATAACAGCATAACGTAAAACGTAATAACGTGACGTAAAACATGACGACACCTTATACGCGTAGTAAATTACTAGCTGAGACATGTCGGTACTTGTTCATTCTTCGCTGATCTGTTGAGGTGTACGGAGGTGGCGCTTACGAAGCTAAGAAGAAGATGGGAATTTGGGCTGGTGGTGGACTTCCTTCCTCACGTTAGCGTAACAGGTACCGCTTTCATGCGGGTGAGTACAACCATGGCGTCTGTAATACCAGTCCTAATAAGATAAGGGTTGTCGCCTTCAAGGGGTATGTATAGACAACGCTTTCGTTTGTGCGCATACGTGCGAACATATTTTTGTGGAATTGAGTTGCCGGGGGCTTCCAAGTAATTATTGTGAGGCCCCCCTATGGCTATCAAAGAACCGCCCCCACCCCATTACCTGCCTCTGCAACCGCCCTCTGGACCCGTTTACCGCTTTCCCTTAGCCAAACTGGTAAGTTTTTTTTATTTTTTTTAATTGTTTCAAGCCGCAAATTATTAATTATTTTATGAAAACTTAATATAGAAAAGCAGAAAAATTATTTTATGTAGAAATTAAGCCAAAACTGTACTTTACGTACTGTATGTAGAAAAATTATTAAAAATTAAATGTCATACTGTACTTTACTAAAAAGTAGAAAAATTACGAAATGTTAAATATAGAAAAATTTAGTCTTATTTTTAAAAAAGATTTACTCTTGCGCCTGAACCGGAGAATTCGGGGCAGCACTTTCCGATGCAAGATGACGTCAAACTGTACTTTACTAAAAAAATTGTGGCAAAAAATTATTTTATGAAAAATAAAATCTGAAAATTTTTAATGTAAAGAGTCAATAGTAATTTTTAATTGTAAGGAAAGACCCTATAACATTCAATTATGTTCTAAGTCGCAACGGATCTGTTTAGTTTGAAACACTGCCGTCGAGATGTTTGAATTGCGCTAATTCCCCTACACGACACGGGTACCGTATCAAGCCAGCATATTTAACTGTGTATTGAATCGGTACAAACGACGCGATCTGAAATGCAGAAAAATCTAGCAACTTACCCTTCGTATGCCTTCTTTCTTCGTGGCTCTGTCATTCTGTTATCTTGTTTTGAACTTCATGCCTCTGTAGCCGAAATTCATGCCTTTCTGTCCTGGTTAGACTTTCAACTGCCTATAAAATTAATGCTTTAGATTTTTAGCCATCATTTTGTTGTCAAATAATTTGTAACTTTTTATAAAGACCCTGTAGCTATTGTTTTTGCTCAACTGCTAAAATAACACCCTGTATAATACTGGTTTTAAATAAAAAAAATTTTAATCTGATTTTGGTTTTGATTTTTATGATTCTAGTAAATTGCCTTTATCTTTTTCAATAAAGATTCGTCTAATTACCTATTGTTTAATTGTTTTTGGTTCATTTTTTCAGTTATTATAATAAAGCCCTGTATTTAATTTTCGGTTAGTTAACGTTTATTACGAATAGGTGATTTTTTCTATATTAAATAAACTGTTTTACCAGCTAAATTATAGTTTTTAGAATGTTAATATGTTTTGAGGATTTTTTTAACCTGTTTTCCTGTTGAAATAAGCCAATATTTTTAATTATAGAAGTTTTCTTTACTATGAAAAATAATTATAGTTTAATATTAATGCTTTAAATATGATTTTATTATAAATAGGCTATTTTAACAGCTAATTATAGTTTTAGAATACATGGACTGTGTATTAAAACTGAAAAGTAATCTGAAATGATGATATTTGAAGCAACTTACCCTTCGTATGCCTTGTTTTTGGTTTCCATCTCTCTGTCATTCTGTAGCCAAAATGCATGCCCTTCCAACGCCGCTCTCCCTGTGTCTTTCCGCTGTCTATAAAAATAATAATATAAAAATTAATTCTTTAGATTTTAGCCACCATCTTGTTGTTAACTAATTTGTATATTTTATAAAGGCCCAGTAGCTATTGTTTCTTCTCAACTGCCAAAATAATACCCTGTATAATGGTGGTTTTAAATAGAATTTTTCTTCGATAGATAATAAACGTGTAAGTGAATTTGTTTAATATGCCACTAATTTTGGTAGCTGGTTTGACTGTTTTAGAATTTAATGCTAATATTTTTAGTTATAGAATTTTTTACTATGAGAAGTAATTGCCGTTTAAGATTATAACTGCTATACAAAGCTACGTTTTTAACTGAAAATGTGTATATAGACTTACCTTTCTTTATCCAAAAGGATACACACAAAAAGCACCACTCACTATAATAATCCGAGAAACTTTTAACAAAAAACAAGCAGAGCAGACTCGTTGATTATATGACTAATTATAAAATTGATTATTAACAGTCTTAGCCAAGAAAAGCCGCAAAGTGCAGTGAAAAGGAGGAGTGGGGGTAAAATTCGTCAAAAATGACCAGGATGAACCTTCATAAGAAAATACATGGGATTTTGGCGTTGAACTCACATAGCATATTATTATTAAAACAAATTAGACTAAATGGATTGTCATTTCAATACCGTAATAGATTTTATTAACAAAAGATTATTAATATATTTTGTGTAAGAAAATTACTGAAAGTTAATACAACGTATTTTTTATGTATATAAAAGGAAGTATAAATGTTTTTCTTCCTAATATTAAATATATAAACAAATGCATTTCTAAAAATGTCATTTATTATTTTCAAAAGTTTGATAATCTAGATCAGGGAGACTAGACAAAGAGCACGAACTCATACGGGAAAATTGACAAATTTGTGCAAGAAATGGCAGAAGTTGGGGTATCGCTAGTGTTCCATATGTACCGAAGTGAATGTAGCATAATAAATACGAGTGAAGTAAGCAAATAACCAATTTTATTTTATAATGAGTTGAGTAGATATATCGGGGAGGTATAGATAATGTATTAACCTAAAAACTAGAAGTCAAGTCAATAATTATTGCAATTTGTTTTTATAGTGGTAAATAAAAAGTTTCGAAAATAATTTAAATATGGTAATAGTATGTGCAGTGAATGACTGTCAACAGATTTAAATGAAAAACAGTACATTTGTGATCTGCATTTTTATATAATTCAAAGTAGCTTATATTATTTATTTTAAAATTTTTAACACATCAAAAATGGCATGATTAATGTATAATTCAAACTGCCGCTTTTTTATCTCCCCTCTCTAAAGGGTCATATGGACACTAGCGCCCTCTTATTTTGGTAAGATTTTTGTTTACATGGAGTTCAGGCTCCTTGTGTAGTAGTCTCCATTATCTAGATAATAAATATAGGAATAATAATCAAAATTTACAACTTACCCTGAAATTCACACCAGTAGAGTATGTTAGAGAGTTCTAATCCACCCCCACCCCATTTTACCCCCCCACCACCACTTTTTTTTACCCAGCCAATCAGAAGACGGAGAGTTTTAATCCGCCCCTCCCACTACATTCCTCCCATCACTTGGCCCCGCCTCTTTTTAACCCAGCCAATTAGAGGACGGAGAGTTCTAGTCCGCCCCTCCCACTACTTTCCTCCCACCACTTGGCCCCGCCTCATTTTAACTCGGCCAATAAGAAGACGGAGAGTTCTAGTCCGCCCCTCCCACTACTTTCCTCCCACCACTTGGCCCCGCCTCATTTTAACTCGGCCAATAAGAAGACGGAGAGTTCTAGTCCGCCCCTCCCACTACTTTCCTCCCACCACTTGGCCCCCGCTTCCTTTTTACCCAGCCAATTAAAAGACGGAGAGTTCTAATCCGCCCTCCCTCCACTTTTATACTATAACATTAAAATATCTACCATTTTCACTTTCTACCACGCTTTAGATAATAACAGAAGTATAATGTATGTCATTAACAAAGAATTATTAACTGTTATCCAAGAAAATTATGAATACAATTTGCAAAATTATAAGAGATTTAAAGAAGATTAATGTCTTTTGGGACTGGCTGGAATACCGACGCAAAACAAATTTTATATGCATTCAAAGAGTATGCGCAACATTTCGGAATGGAAGTAGATAAACTAAGTGCATTCTGGCTCAATTTGCATAAATTAGGTATGAAAATGGATGTTCTAGTAGATTTCCTGGAAGAGGGTTGTTTGTTGGATTTTGGGGATGTTAGAAAAATAGGTTTGTGGTTTGAGTTAGCCGAAAAGGATGATCCCTAACTCGTCTTCATTATTTGGCCCACTCTGTATAGGGTCCAGGTGTGCCGACACGCCTTCGCCATTCCCAGCCGCGAGCGTATAATGACGTAGAAGTGCGTGTTGTGAATGGTATTCCTTTCACTTAGTCTGCGTTGTTCATTCTGGCTCATGTGTCTAAATTTGGGTTGAAAATGGGTGCCCCGGCAGATGCGCGCGAGAGTGGTACTCTTGATTTCGAAGATGGTACCTAAAAGGATATTTGTGGGATTTGAGAATGTGGGGATATTATTATATATTATGGAGGCATTGTGCTATTTATTTTTAATTGTTGAAAAATGAANAGTAAATGCATACAAAAGCTGTTTTCTGTACGATAAACGGTTCCGGAGATATTCGCAAAAAAACGAATTTTTTTTTACAATTTCAACACCCTGTATCTCGAAAATTGTGCATTTTAGAGGGTAAGTTAATACAAACTTTTTTTCAAATTTTTGGACGAGCTATCACATCCTGAAGTCCTGCGCATATATTATGAAACACCCTGTATATGGAAAATTATGAAATATGACATCAAACTGAACTTTCATGAAAAAAAAAATAGTGGCAAAAAATTATTTTACGAAAAAATAAAATCTGAATATTTTTAATGTAAAAAGCCAATAGTAATTTTTAATTGTAAGGAAAGACCCTATAACGTTCAATTATGTCCTAAGTCGCAACGGATCTGTTTAGTTTGAAACACTGCCGTCGAGATGTTTGAATTGCGTTAAGAGTGTGGTACCGAACAATTATATTTTGAATTTGCCCTAACCACAACCCATTTTTATCGTTTCGATAGCCCGAAGGCCTTTCGCGTTCACGGGCGGATTTAAGTTTTTCGCGTGTTGCTGAAACCTTTTGTCGTTGGCAAGGAAAAATCCAATGATTACCCTTAGGTAATCGTTTAAGATAGATCCCTACACGACGCGGGTACCTTATCAAGCCAGCATATTTAACTGTGTATTGAATCGGTACAGACGACGCGATCTGAAATGCAGAAAAATCTAGCAACTTACTTCGTATGCTTTTTTCTTCATGTCTCTGTCGTCCTGATGTCTTGCTTTGAACTTCATGCTTCTGTAGTCAAAATTCATGTCTTTCTGTCCTGGCTAAACTTTCAACTGCCTAAAAAATTAATGCTTTAGATTTTTAGCCATCATTTTGTTATCAATTAATTTGTAACATTTTATAAAGACCCTGTATTTTTATTTAATTTCTCAAGTTATTAAAATAACACCCTGTATAATACTGGTTTTAAATAAAAAAAAATTTAATCTGATTTTGGTTTTGATTGTTTATGATTCTAGTAAATTGCTTTATCTTTTTTCAATAAAGATTCGTCTAATTACCTATTGTTTAATTGTTTTTGGTTCATTTTTTCAGTTATTATAATAACGCCCTGTATTTAATTTTCGGTTAGTTAACGTTTATTACGATTAAGTGATTTTTTCTGTATTAAATAAGCTGTTTTACCAGCTAAATTATGTTTTGAGGATTTTTTTGTTTTCCTGTAGAAATAAGCCAATATTTTTAATTGTAAGTTTTCTTTACTATGAAAAATAATTATAGTTTAATATTAATGCTTTAAATATGATTTTATTATAAATAAGCTATTTTAACAGCTAATTATAGTTTTTAGAATACGTAGGCTGTGTATTAAAACTGAAAAGTAATCTGAAATGATAAAATTTAAAGCAACTTACCCTTCATATGACTTGTTTTTGGTTTCCATGTATCTGTCATTCTGTAGCCAAAACGCATGCCTTTCCAATGCTGCTCCCTCTCTCTGTCTTTCCGCTGTCTATAAAAAATAATAATATAAAAAATAATTCTTTAGATTTTTAGCCACCATCTTGTTGTTAACTAATTTGTAACGTTTATAAAGGCCCTGTAGCTATTGTTTTTTCTCAACTGCTAAACTAACGCCTTGTATAATGGTGGTTTTAAATAGAATTTTTCTTCGTTAGATAATAAACGTGTAAGTGAATTTGTTTAATATACCACTAATTTTGGTAGCTGGTTTGACTGTTTTAGAATTTAATGCTAATATTTTTAGTTATAGAATTTTTTACTATGAGAAGTAATTGCCGTTTAAGATTATAACTGCTATACAAAGATACGTTTTTAACTGAAAATGTGTATATAGACTTACCTTTCTTTATCCAAAAGGATACACACAAAAAGCACCACTCACTATAATAATCCGAGAAACTTTTAACAAAAAACAAGCAGAGCAGACTCGTTGATTATATGACTAATTATAAAATTGATTATTAACAGTCTTAGCCAAGAAAAGCCGCATAGTGCAGTGACTGCAGTTGATATCGCCAGAACAGGCTATTGACCGTTTTGCTGAGACAGCAAAGACAGCTGTGCTAGCGTTTGTTAACTTGGTTTTCTTATCACACACCTAAGCAGAATAATTTCTATTTCAATACAATTTAAAAAAAATAAAAGAATTTATCATCTCAAACTTTTAATATGAAGACTAAATTTACACAGCTTTCCTCATTGTAATTGACGTATTCCCCGTCTGGCTTTAATTCGAATAATCAACTAGTTTGCGCCTAATCTAAATTTTTGAAGCTTTACGAAGTAACCGTAATTAACGATTAATCCACTTTTGATTGTGTACCGCCAGCCTGTACAAATCTGCGTTAATTTTTTAATAAATTTACCACTTATTTCGCAAATATCCATACTGTTTTGACAATGACTCCGAGTCGTAGAAAACCGTTGCCTGAATTAAAATCTCTTCACCCCCCATAATACTTATAATTAGTACACATACTGAGATTTTTTCTCATTCCGTGCCTCTTCTCTAGGTACCTACAACCCTGTAGATAAAGATCGCCTTAGAAGCAGCAGCAGGCTATAGGACAGAGACATTCCACGGGCTAAGAATACACATTATGATTAGGTTTAAAAACGGTTTTAGTTAAGTAGATGTACTTTTTCCTTAATACATAATATATTTGTCCGATACGTCTCTGCTTTGTGCTTTTATAGGCAATAAACTGTTATTATTTGAAGCGTTAGTTTTCTATCAATAATTGTAGTCCGACCTAAGCAGAATAATTTCTATTTCAATACAATTTGCTATTTAAAACAATTTATCATTACACGCTCGGCCGCGTTATAAACTACTATTGCGAAATGAAAATCGCGGCTACTGTCTCCGTCACGTTGGG